TTCATAATGTGGTTCTAAATACCTTGCATTGTAGTGACAGGCCAGTAACTTCTGGGGTTTGCAGTAGATGTTTCAGAAGAGGCATTAGCTTGGGCTGATATTAAATATTAATCATTTTCTGGAAACATTCTCTAACAAACTTCAGTGAAACAGCCTTCCTTCTTCCTCTTTCAAAGAGGGGAAGAAAATATTTCTGATCTGAATCTGCCAAAGCAATACTCTTAAAGTAGGGTGTTTTGCTTTCCTCTTTTCTGGCAGACTTGCTTTCAGAGTGTTATTCTGCAAGCAGGCACTACAAATAAATGAAACTAATCCAAGAAATGTCTGTTAACTAACTTACCAGTCTGCTTAATCTGTCTAGAAACAGCCTTTTTGGCTCTTCTGAATCTTAATAGGGAAGAGAGCATATTGAACTACTTAGAAGCTGTAAAAGGGTAGAAAAGGGGATTTTTAAATGCTTTTGGTGTTGACCAGGTGTGCTCCAGTGTTTTACTGTCCAGCTGAGCTCTGAAAGAACTAGTGAACTGGAATGCTGACTGGTGGGAGGGCATCTAGGAGGCTTTTGTGTCAAACTGCCATTCCTGGAAAAGTGATTCCTTTAACATTATTCAGTGAATGTAACTGGAAAAGCATAAAATATCTTGCTAGTGGAGCCCCTTGTAAAGTGACTGCCTGTACTCTTGGCTGTGGGCAGTTCCATACGGCTGCATCTCTGTTCTAGCCCAAAGCATTTCTAATGCTTCAGTGAAATGAATCTGTCAGGCTTTCAGTTCTCATTAAAAGGTCTGAGGAAAGGACCTTGTGGGAGTGGCTTCCTGTAATGTCTTTGCTTTTTTTAGTGTTGGCTTTGCAGTATGCAGAGGCAGGCTTAGCTTCAGCTTGGGTGGAGGAGCTGTAATGCTTGATAGCTCCCAAATCCTGTGTGTGCCTGGTTGAGTCACAGGGTGAACCTACTTCTGTGCCTGAGTTAGTATCTTCTCCCCTGGAAACCTGGAACAGAAGTGTGTGCAAGTCTCAGATTTGTTGTTAGTCATGACTTGCTGTGCAAGTAAATATCTTGGCAGTGACTTTTCCAAAACCTTTGAAAGGATACATAAAAAATTTGCTGTAGCTCTGCTGGCTTTTGTGGTATGTGTTTCTATTCCTGTCTGGAAAGGGGAGATAGGGTTTTTTCTCATTATGCTTCTACAGGTGAGGTGCACTTTGTTAACAGTAACACTGAAGTGTTTTCCTGTAAAACAACTTTCAGCTTTTTATTCTGTGATTAAAGGGCAAATGAAAAGACTTCACAAATCCAGCATTTGCTTTTCAGTGATTGATCCTGAAGTTAAGTTCTCAGTCACAAACTGGATTTAAGAATGTTGCTTGTAAAGACTGTTGGTCTTTGGGGCTGTCATGCCTTTAAATGATGGGGTTTTTTTTTAAAAAAAAGGAATTGTACACTTAAGGTGTTTCAAAATAACTTCCTTGGCCCTAGAACACCAGCAGCTTTGTGTTCCTCAATGTGGATCTCAAACCCTGTGATGATTGAAAAGGCAGACTTCATTGCTTCCAGTGATATACTTACTGCTTCTTGCTAATTTCATCTAGCCTGCCAAAAGTGAACCTGTATTCTGTATCCAGAAAAGGCCAGATGTTTGTTAGTTTATTAGGGGAGATGCTAGATTAAAATTTGGTTGGCTCGGTATTGTGATTCTGTCCCTTTTTGTAGGCAGATAAGTTAATTGGGTTGGTACAAAAAGGGTTTAACAAAACAGAAGCAAGGTGACCTCATCCTTGCTTGTAAATTGCAAGACATTTGTCTTATGTGATTCGAGGCAGAGCTCTCAAATCCATTTCAGTAGGCTGAACTCTTAAAATTTTGGAGCAGAGTGCTCTGTCTCAGCCCTTGCAAATCTGCCCTGGCTCAGACAGATCTGTTTAGGTCTTCAGAAACCCCAGACTCAAGGGAGGACCTGAAGTGTCCCAGCTGGATCTATAGGACATAGTTTACTAATCTAGTCCTCTTGGACTAGATGCATGGCTTAGTCAATCAGCGCAGACTGCTGTACAACTGCAACAGCAGTGCCAGCTTTGTTACCTGTAGACAGAGTGGTGCAAGCTTTTACGTAAAGATCCTGACAAGTACATGAACATGTTGGAAGTGTATATATTCACTGAATGCATATTTAGACTGTAAAATGGAAAAATACTATTTCACAAGTGTCAAAGCATAATCCTGCCTACCAACTGCTGATTTTTCTGAAAGTAACTCCGAGCTAATATGCTTTTTAAGGTATCAACAGGCAAAAACTGGATATAGAAGTATTGAAAAGAGGTGGTGTGTTTGTAATCTGAAGATTATGTGGGAGAGAAGACTCAGGGAGGGAACAGCTTAGTTGGATCAGTTGTACTGAGTCACTAGTACAAAACACTAATGACTCATCATGCCCAGTTTTATTTTTAACAAATATACTAATGCTGTGAAAGCTGTAAACAGCAAACTAGCTTAAAAATCTAGGTTGCATAAAGGTTTTAGGTAACTTTTTATCAGTGTGTCTATTAATTTGCTAAATAAAACAGTGAAGGGAAATTGCCAACAGAACTTCTGGAGTTTTAGCTGGGGAAGACTTGCTCAAGCACCTGGTTGTCCTGGAGTCAGTGATTGTTCAGGAATTGAATCCACTTTTCTGCTAATTGTACCTTCTCTGGAGAAGCCATTGCTGTGGTTTGCTTGGAGTAGCCTTGGTAAACATCTACTAACTATGGAAGTGAATTAACACTGCAGATGAATGTCATGCTGGAACTCTTCATTGAGATGTGATGCCAATATAGTCTTCTGATCAGAGGAATAAATGTTTTTCTGTTGCACACTCCTCTTTCC